TTCTCAGATATGTTTGTTACTAATCTGCCAGGCCCAAAGGTGGAGACTGGTTTATCTGTTATGCGAATTCGATACAAATACCATGTGTCTAGTGCATGGCACCGCTGACCACTGCGCTTGTTCTTCACAATCTTTTCAAATGTTTTCACCACTTCTCGTGCTCTTCTATACTGCCTAATTTGCGTTGCGAAAGCTTTCGCGCGTGGTGAAAAAAAATTTTCACCGAACAATTGATGTAACTTTCCTTTTCCAAAAGGAATGCTCGAATTAAATTTTACAAATTTCCATAGATCAGGGAGAAAATAAGGCTGTAATATTTTCAACGTGTGAATATTTTTATCCATGTCATATTCTTAATAGTTGTTCTTGGATCAGCTGATTCTGTGTTTGGTAAGCGACGGAAAGCATTCTAACTGAAATGTTTCGCATCATCTTCAACCCGTTCTGGTCGCTGAATTTTATTTTCCTAAGAGCACTATCGATGTTGGGAAGCTTCAGCTCTTCATTTGCGTTACAACCTATTTCTGATATGGACAACGGTATCTGTTCTTGCTATCGATATTTTCCACATCTCATGACAATGGAACGCAAGGATTTGGAGCAGAAGCGATAATAGGACTAAGCAAATTTTTTTTAGTATCGCTTCAATATCTTTTCTCTCGACTACTTATCTTTGTGATTTTTTAAAAAAATTTTTGTAGCAGGGATGGTTTTACTTATATTACCTGTAGTCCCGTTGATCGTCGAGTGACTAGTGCGAGCGCCAGTAAACCTTCCATTTTTCCCTGTCGCGTGAGCCCAGTGGGTTCTGCTCGCTCTAGGGACTCGTTGAGCAAGATGGTATATGTATATATATATATATATATATGTATATATATATATATATACATTTATATACTCATGTCTTAGTTCCACACTCAATACTACTCGTACCAGCACCGCCCTGAGGAAGGCGAAATCGCCGTAAGATCAGCCATCGACGAGCAACAACAACGATGACAACTATACCAAGCTCGCATAAGCTCAAGCAGATCAGCTGATAAGAACATATAAATAAACATATCGATTATTCATGCCGAGCTTTATAGAAAGTCGTTGTTTTGAGTTATCCAGAGTGTATATTATTAAAAGGGAACTCGAATACACGTCAAGACTTTGCTTAACGAGTACGTGTTATATTTACAGATAATTTAAAAACTAGTTTATATCTGAGCTCAATAAATGAGCAATGCAACATTTAACTGAAACTGAGAAAGCGTGCATCTCAGTCGTTAGGGGTGTCCTGCAATGCACACGTGATCGCTGATTCCAGCTATTGTCCGAGACTGACTCCCGTTCCTCTAGGCCGACAAATTGATTTCGTACTTGTCTGGCAGGGTAGGAGCACTGATCCGTTACATCAGGAGGCCATCGCAAGTAGGCCACAGCAAGTCATTTTATAAGCCAGATAAGCATTCAACCTAGTCACTTCTAACGTTATTTGGTGGAGTCGAAAACACGGAGCACCCTCTGGAATTGATCTGTGGCGAATACTTTGTCGTTTATTTTTCATAGTCAATTAATAAGCTTGAACGAGCTTGCTATAAAACTTCGATGTGGCCAACCTTACGGCTCTATTGCCTTTTCACCTGGTGTCCACTCTTCTCGATTCGACACGACGCAACAACGACAACTCATACACCGCAAGGAGTAACTACTACGGTTATTCGATTCAAGTCATTACGATTTTGAGAGAGACAAAAGCACCAAAACTTTAGCCGCAACATGGGTTTTAACAGCTTCTTGTAAGCCTACTTAAAAAATGAGATAATCACTGGTGTTTGTGAACGTATTCCGCTATGGCAGCTGCCATTTCTTCTCGTGTCTGAACAAGCTTAGACATAATTGCTTCAGTGTTTTTCATTCCAGACCTTAGAATCTTTATAAAGTCAAAAGTCGTGTTCGTTAAACAATCATATGGATCAGAAACTAACTGACTCGTTAGTGTGCCAGAATAAAATGTTCGACGAATGCAGAGGAAAACTTTACGCATCAATCTTCTTTATTCGCTTTAAGTTCACGCTCCGAATAGCTTGTGACACTGCTAGTTGTCGAAAGAGATGAATTCACTTCCCAATCCCAGCGCTCGTTCATATGAATCCCTTTCTCTACTCGCACCTAAAGTATGAGTATTTCATGATGTTTTCCTACCTTTGTAGCCAAAATCATACACATTACGTAAAACTACTTTTTTAATAAAATTTAACTCTCTTATAAAAGCGAAGCAAAATTTGATATTTAGTGAGGTTTTGAACACCACTGCGTAGCATATTGAACTAATAAAACGCTTCTGGTGCATGTTACATCCCTGTTGGATCGGCCAAAGCTGGATCTTTCAATCCTCGTTTGATCACTGGATCTAATTCTATAAATTTAATTTTTTTTTTACACAAAAGCAAACGACAACAGAAAACCAATGAGCAAACGTTGATCGAAATAACACCACGAATACAATTGGAAGAAAAATTGCAAGACCGATGGCCGATTCTCTCAGCATTTTTTTTGTTACCGAGATTAGCATCTGCCAAAGTAGCGCTGCAGAAGCAAGACAGTGTTTTAAGTGGTTAGAAAAGCAGATAAAATGAAATAACTACGGACCAAAAAAAAAACCCGAATTCACGAAGAACGTGTCAGCTCACTTAAAGGAAGAGTTCTCTCATCTTTGTATTATGATACAGAAGCGTAATTCGATATGTCGGTTACATAGAAGAGGTTGCGTACAATACACAGAAAACTCGAGCGAATTCTAGAGATTAAATCGAATTTCGAGAGAATGCGAATGACATGGAGGAAAAAAAGATGGGTCAAAGCATTCTTAACGCACTTGAACCAACTGCGCTCGCAGAAGGAACCAACTTTCAGGTACTTAAACAGCAGCCGAAGTCACATCTAATGTGACCATCTTGTCGTCGTTAGGCAAACGACGTAAATTTACAAAGGCATAGAGCCCGCATGAAAAGCGATGATAGACCATCTAAGTATGCAAATCATGGCAGGCTGAAAACATTTCTCTCATTCATGTATTGTTCAACTTTCGAAAGTGACTTCAAAAAAACTGGTCACGCTTCTTTCCTACTTGAGTGGAGTTCACAGCTTCTGAGATGCGGATTACGGTAGGAAGAACAACAATATTGAAAATGAGCGCAGGAATCTAAGCTTTGTATCCTCATCAATCTTCTCTTCAATGATATTGAAAGCTCCTTGAGCTGCTAGCCTCATGCTGCAGGTTTTAAAACTTAGTACGTTAAAGTTCACACGTCAATCTAAATGAGTGGAGTAGCTTGAGGTATGAGGTCGCTCTTATTTGCTTTCTATACTTTTTACGGCGGAATATGATGTATAATATAAGTAGGTTGGTGCTGAGATATTTACAAAACTCTGCACTCCAGGTGTTTGTAATGTGGATCGAATACACTATTACCCTTTCCGAGAGCCAACGCGTTCACGACCACACCGTGGGGGTCCTTCGTTTCCCATTTCTCTCAGCAGCTTTTTATCCTATAGTTGCTACCAGCAATCACCCGCCAAAGCGAATGATGTGAAGAGCACAAATCGGCACTGAATTAGAGATATCTCTTTCGGTGAATGCGAATAGGTACCAAGGATCGACCCGTTTTTTACGAACGTTGTTTTCCTTAGCTTCAGCGAAATATAGATTATTTCTGTAGTATAATATTAAGTGTTATGAGAAATTTGGCTGCGGCGATATGAAGCAGTATCGCTGCAACACAGCGAATTCCTCACATAAAGAGAACTTTGGAGCTGACGTCATGAATGGGATTCCTCGTCACCTTCTTCGTTCAGAAACATCATTGTGGATCACATAATCAGAAGAATTTTGATATATTTCACACGTTGCTGCTTATCTCTACAACCTCAGCGTTTGACAGGGATGCCTACTACACCTAACCGACACACTTTCTTTTGTTAATAAGTAGAATAAGTTCGCATTCGATCTTCTCGAATTGTATCGAATAACCCGCAGAGAAGGCATCCGGTTTAAGCCTGCACCTCTTCCAAGTACATGTCGTCACTATAGTAACTTTAAACTCGTGCAGAAGTGTAGTGCAGAAGTGCAGAAGTCTATGTAAAACAACTGTCGCTTTGAAGAAGTTTCGTTTCTGTGGAGCGTCACTTTTTTTTGCTAATCAAACAAAATGAACAGTTTTAAAACCAAGATGTCATGGAAAGCATTCTCTGATCTGGAAGCCATGACGTGGGAAATTATCAAAAAACCATCGCTCCTCCTTTCAATATTCTTTGGTAGAGTTATTTCTGTTTGCGCAATTAATCCTAAAGATCCTCTTCATTGACTTCTCTCTGATGAATTCCTCACGCATCCAGGTTCATTCCTGGCGACGTTTAACGTAACATACATCCATCTTAAACAATAGACACTATCTCTTGTAAAAAGCGTAGATCCGATTTAGATGTGTAGACGACTGCCATTTGCGAAGTCCTTCTGACACTCTGCTGCTGCTATTTTGGTCTGAAGAAAACACAGTGCCAATTTGGCAACATTAGTTAAATAGAAAATAGAAACTGGTTAGCGCCCACACCAATTTGTGAAGATGACCATCTAGGATTTGAGTCAGGTGTAGTTCAGACACGGTGCCATCTTATCGCCGATCGATCATATGATCAGCACAACTGTTGTGTAGAACGAAAATATAAGTCTGTACTTCTTTTACAGAATTCTTCAGAATTTAAAACTATTGGCATAAATTCTCCATTCTCCACTCCATTAATAATCGATTTTACATTCAAGACTATCAATTTTTCTGTAAACCCTCTTCAGACATGCCCAGTTTTAAGTTTTGCTTCAGTTGCTTCGGATAAGACTGGGTAAAGCAACCAATTCTTACCATTTCTCTTCTCACCTCTAAGATGCTCTTCTAATTCTGAAAACCGCTTAAAGTTACCCATTACTCATTTTGTGTAAAGAACGCTTAAATTCGTTATCATAAAAAGCGTACTTCTTCTAGGGTCTTATAAATTTTTTCGTATTCCGGTTGTGACTCAAACGAATACGAATCCACCATGGTGAGGATCCGGTCGAATTGCTTCGGCGTTTCGTATAGAAACTGTTTTCGACCAGCTCCCCGAGCCGCTTGCTTCGCGGAACCCACCGCATTTCGCTCTGCAACGGATAATACAAATGATACATTTTTACCATTTTTAAGTAATAGCGACAATTCTAATTACTCTCAGAAATCGCTTATTGTCTGATTCAAGGACGGCCTCCAATTCGATGCCTGGATAAGCGTCTATAGTGCTTTTAGAAGCGTTTGTGGGAACCAAAAACACAAGATATTACTATGCGTGTTTACACTCACTCTTGAAGTTGTCATGTCAAAGTTGCAATAAAAGCAAATGAAAGTGAAAGTCAATTATGTAAGACTCTTAAAGTATTCTGGTCTTGCTGATGAAGTCCTTCCCACAAAACCAAATAGGGCCGTGCAGTACAATTGAAAGGTGACCGATTTCGACAACTGTTCTGCTTTCGGCTTTAAGAGAACGATTTTCGTGACAATGGCGACAATGGCCTGATTTTCAGAGTCTCGAGCTTTGTGTGACGAGTATCTAGAACTATTCTAGCTGTCATTGCCAATGAATGTATGAAGTCCGTAGACGACTAAGGGAATACCGCGTTTGAGAAGCTTATAGGAGCACCGATATTATAAGGTGTAACGAAAATCGTGCTCTTTGTACACCGTTTCACCTGCACTGTTTTGCTATTCACAAGGTTTGCGTGTACACCTGGGCACTATGTGAACACGATGAAGAGTTGTCGGCGTTATTCACTTAAGTTTGAGAGAGTAATATTAAGTCAAAATCACGTATATCAGATTATATCCAGGTATAGCTAAACTGAACGTATAGTTCATGTAAGCGACATTTAAAACCTAACAGCTATACCACGTAAGGACTGAGCTTTACGAGGTGTCATGTACACAACAGGAAGACCGTCAACCAGCTAGTGATGTTTTTCATCGAAATTATGGAAAACACGGTTATAATATTTTTAAAGAGGTGACCAGTAAAAAAATAGGAATGAGTCTTGTGGTTTCGGCTTAAATGACCTAAGGGTCATAGATAATTCAAACTGTACTAATATCCATCTTTGTAATGAATAACTAATTATGAAAGCTGCTGAAAACTCTTATTTCATTAAACTAAAAATAAGATGCATTAATCATGGAGGATACTAAAAGTGGCAATGTCGTTCAACAGGTTACTAGGTCAGAAGAAATTCTTAGCCTCCAAAATACTCGAACGTGAGGAAACGTACGCTCGAATAGGTTCTACATCAATGGCTCAACCTGTCGAACACTCAAAGAAGTGGTCAAAGCCTTTGATACTTGATACTTGAACGACCCATCATCACTAGTTTTGTAGGCTCCAGCGTACTCACCATTTTTCGGAGATTTGCTGGTTGAGCCATTGTGGTTTCCTGGAATCCTGAGGACAGCCTAGCCAAAGTCTGCCCCCCAGGTCGTCACCACGACAGGCAGCCGCTGCCCTTGTGAATAAGAGGGAGATTTGAATGACTTGAAATTTGACCTAATTACCCAAGTTTTAGGTCAAAGCCCTACATTTCTTAAAATGTATACTGCGTAACGATTTTAGTTTTGTTCATTAATATAAAAGAAATAAGAATAGTATGCTTATATTATGTTGCATTGCACTACACCTGAGACAAATCTCCAAGGAAGAGTTCCTCTTGTCATTTCGACAATCATATAAAACCAGCTTTCCAAATCATCTCTTCTTCCAAGGTCCTAAAAGCTAATGGAAGAGTTTTAAGCAACTGCTCTTTATTGCAAAATAAAATCCATTGAACATATATGGAATTTTGGAAAGTAAATGAAGCACGCTGTCGGATTGTGCTAAATTCTCGCCTGAGTAAAACAACCAGTAAAACACATGTGAACGTTCTAGCAAAATACTTCATTTTAAAAAATTTCTTTTCAACGCCATATGCTTTACAAACTAAATATTTTAGCTACAAAAGCTCGCCTGTCGCCGATGGGCAGTAAGACTACCATATCTCGTTGTCCCTCTCCAACCGACGTCTTTCCTCGCAGGAAGTACCTTTCCATTCTGTCAATAAATCTATGCATTTATAAGCGAGTGAAATCTGATGGTTGGAAATCAAACCATTTTCGCTTTGTCGCTTTGCTGATAACATCGCTCTTATAACCCCAAATGTTGGCCAGGCCAAGCGAACGCTTTCCAGAGGTCTTCGGGTAGATCTCAGAAAAATGATTTTCAGGAAGAATAGATAGGTTTCGTAATCCCTACTCATAATTGGCGGCACGAACCTCTTCGAATGTTCCAGTTACGTCAGTCTAGATTGGGAAAACAACATGATGAAAGACTTAGCTTCAGGGTGTAGAAAGAAGAAGCGAGCATCTTGTGGAGTTTACAAGAGTATCGGGAATGCAATGAACAAAGCACGGAACACGCGGCTCCGTGCCCACTTTTTCAACTCCGCGGTTCTTTGTGCATTTAAGCACGCGTAAGAAACCTGAGCGCTACGTAAACAGGATAACAAATCACTCAGCGTTATAGAAAGCGCAGTTGAAAGGGCGATACTAGGTGTTTCTCGTATCACGCAAGTGAGAGAAAGGATTTAAAGCTCTAGATCAAAGACGATATTCTATAAGGCAATCTGCCAAAAATGGAGTGCGCTAGATTTATTACACGTATGAATGATAAAAGAAGGGCACGTGCGGTTAGTGACTAGATTTCCGGGATGTCAAATGCACTACAAGGAATTATTCACAAAAATCCTAGAGGAAGACATGACGCTGAGCGAGTTTCTAGAACGGGCAGAACCCACTGGGATTCTCTTGAACACGATAAAGAAAGATGGAAAATTTACTGGCGCCCGCTCGAGTATTCGACCATCAACTAGACTACAGGTGATTGAGCGAACAGCTGAATGTGGATAATAACCAGGATAATGGATAGTTAGCCAGCAAAATACTATTGCTTTGCCTAATTAAGCGAAAGAACGCTCGACACACCATGGAGATTGTTTCTTGCTCTGCACGTATAACGCTAGAACACTCTCCACAAACGACGATCATCACGCCCTTGGCGTAGCCGCTGATCGCATCAAATCTAATCTGATCGCACTTTAAGAAACAAAGATCAAAAAGGCCGACAAATGTCATCTAAATAATGAGACCTTTGTCACCCGTGCGGAAAAGGTCCCGTGGCGAAATGTCAGCAGCGTAGACCTTGTCGTCCACCCGTTCATTGTTCATCTCGTCGATCCATACGAGATCCTTTCTCTTCGCATAGCGGTCCTCCGTCTTCAACTGATGTGTCATAGGAAGATCACAATATCAATTGCGTTCTAGTATCAGTTGGAGAAAGTTATCCACAATGGTAAAGCATGTCATAAATTTGCTCTCGGAGACTTCAATGTCAGAATTGGAAAGGCCAACAACAGCGAATACAGGATCGGAAATTTTGGATTAAGAGAAGAAAATAAGAATGAAACCCGTTTCGCAGTACTCTTCTCTGCAGCATGTCTCTTCCATGGAACTCGTTTTTTCAGAAGAAAGAAAGCCGCCACTGGGCGTGGGAGTCTCCTGACAGCATGGCTCATGCGGAGATCGACCACATTCTGACAAACAGAAGACGGTGCCTACCTGACACATCGGTTGTCCCATTATTCTGTACTAGTTCTTATCACCGCCTTCTTTACACAAAGATTCGATTCAGCTACAAGCTGGCAAAAAGCTTTCTTCATCGACAACGAGGAAAGAGTCTAGCTGTAAACGACGATAACTTCTGAACGAACACTTATCCAAAAGTGACTAGCAGATTAAAGAAGGTCCAACCAAAGACTACGAGCTGCTTGTCGAAGGTCTGAAAAGCTGTACCAAATTCGCATCAGTTCCTCAAGCAAGGAGATCGGATCGCATTTCTATTACTACTAAGGAATTGCTCGAAAAGAGAAGGTAACTGAAGCTTGATCTTACTACAACACGTTTAACACGTCTAGTAACAAATTTCAGATGCAAAAAAGCTTTTAGAAAGACCTACATCGGTACAGACACAAGAAACTACTAAAAGCAGCATAGAAAAAAAGCAGTCTAAAAAAAATGCCGCCGGGACTTGCGTGATTATAATGTTCCGCTGTCAGCCTTGATGAACGAAGACGGGATCGTCAAGACTTCTTGCCATGATATGGAATTAATAGCGGAAACGTTTTACGCCAACCTTTTTAGCTTCACAATACTGTTCCAGACCCTAATATCCCCGCTGGCAAAAAACCATCAAGAAAAAAAACCATCGGATGTCGGAGTTGTGATAAAAAGGATGAAAGGTGGCACAGCACCAGAACCTGATGATACCAATGCAGAATTCCTTAGAATGGAAGCGACAATTTATATGTACTTCTCGCAAACCACATGACAGCTTACATTCAAAGGAAAAAAATTCCGAACCAGTGGAAGACGTCGCGCACGGTCATCCTGCCGAAGAAAGATGACGAAAAGAATGTTCGTAACTATCGTCTCATATGCTTGTTAAGTGTACTCTACAAGCTCTTCACAAAGATTATCCTCTCGCGCATATCAAGGACATTGGATGAGGCGCAACCAGTCGACCAAGAAGGATTTCGAAAAGAATTTTGCTGCATAGACCACATACAAACCGTGTCCAGGGTCATCGAAGTTTGTCGGGGATATCACTTGCTTCTAGTCCTAACCTTTGTCGACCATGAGAAATCGTTTTACAGTGTCGAAACGAATGCAATCCTATTAGCGCTCGTCGACCAAGGAGTAGAGCCGTACTATATAAGGACTCTGTCCGACTGTTATCGGAACTGAACTACGAAGATACAGCTTTTCCATCGACCTCTTACAATACCCACAGGAAAAGGGATTCGACAGGGCGACACAATATCACCAAAGCTGTTCAGTGCCGCACTGCAGTGGACAATGAAGTTACTCGATTGGAATGAGAAAGGCATTAATGGAAAATTCCTGTCAAACCTTCGTTTTGCCGATGACATTGTCGTCTTCTTAAAAAGTACTAGCGAAGCAAAGGTGATGATCAACGGGCTTAACGAAGCGGTGAAAAACATCTGACTTCGCATAAATCGAAAAAAGTCCCAGTTCACGAAAGAGCCATGGTACGAAGGCGAAAAAATAGAATTGGACGGCTCTCTCATTGAAAAGACCACCTCGTTTACCTTGGGCGATCAATGACCATGGAAAACAATATGAAAGAGGAACTAGATAGAAGAAGGAGAGAAGCTTGGGCCGAATTCGGAGCTCCCAAAGAAGCCACCGACCAGCTGAAGGACCCGAAAATCCGCGCTCATCTCTTTGATTCTACGGTCCTCTCAGTGTTCTGTTATGCTGCAGAGACGTGGGTTGATACCTCAGCTACGTCAAGAATGCTTCGAACTACTCACAGAGCGCTTGAGTGATGTCTTCTGAAATATAACCGGCACTCTCAATATTTAACCGGGCAAAGCTCCGAGCTTCGAAATCTGTCACATCTTCGAGATCCAGAAAAATATACATCGACAGCGAAACATAGATGGGCCGGGTCACATAATAAGAAGAACAGACGACAGGAAGTTGGTGCAACTACGAAATTTTCAATCACACTCGTGATTTCAAAATGGAAATGCTTAAAGAGACTGCCCTTTCAGGAGTTACTGGCGTGACCTCTTCACAAATTCAGGTACACATTCTAATATTATTATTTAAATAATACAACGTGCACGATGGCACCTTTATTCGCACTATCTCTGTCATCTTAATTCAAGCTGTTCGCTTCTGTTCACCTCGAAATTCAGCTGGCTGCTGGTTATGGTGGTGCCTGAGAACGCAGTGTTTTCTCAAAACTTTATGTTAGTGCACAAAATAACTCGCCACATCACAACAAATTAAAGAATTGTATTCGTCAACTCATCATCTTTTATGACTTTTCAACTCACCTTGTCAATGTACCTCTTTGACAGACCAAAGTCGTAAAGGAAGATGATTTTAGACTGCCTGTTGCAGCGATGCCCAGGAGCGAAGTTTCCTGGTTTTATGTCACGTGAAATGTAGCCGAGTTTATGAAGTTCCTCTATGGCCTTAATTATAATTTTGCTACCTAGCACATCCGTGCCATTATGATTCGTCCATACTCACTTTTTTCTACCGTTTCTTTTGTCGCATAGACAATTTTGCTAATTGAAAAGCTACTGCAATCCACAGTCCTTAACAATAATGCGCACGCTTTTCTTTTCTATAGAAATGATTTTCTGATTTTCTTGGTCCCACAGGCGGTTTCTGTTTTTCATGAGAGGTCTCATTTCCAGTAGAAAGCGAACATTGGAGTAGCGGGAGTTCGTTAAGCTCGAAACAATATTAGAAACGAATGTATCGTCAGTGTTCGTCCGATTATGCTTAATATTCTGAGACTTTAATTTTTTCTTTGATTGCTTGAAAACTTGAAACTCGAGCCAAAATGGCATTTAACAACTTTAGCAAAGCAACGCACATTGTCCCATTCGAGTTTCTCAGTTCTCAACTTTTGAAGTGTTCTAGTTACCAAAAAATGCCTGTACTGCCGAAATTGGGCCTCGTCGCAACCCGTAGCTAACGAGAGTTAGGAGCCGAGCTGTAAGTGTTGAAGAGAAATGTGATCATCCAACCTTCAGCGATTGCATAGAAACTCTAAGCGACGTGCTGATGGTGAAGCGTTTGTCCGGCATTTCATTTCTCAGCTTGTGCAAATCCTTATACAGCAACGTCATCACCATATACACGTAATCCGGCTTATTCGATCCCTGAAAGGTGAGTAAATTTTTACTTGCCATATCACTTAAGAATATACGTCGTACTCACATAATCTATTAGCTCACAGAAGTGCCTTGCCTTCGCTGCTTTGGCCGCTTTCAGCACTCCCACATCGATATGTAGCATCGATTTGCTGAACTTTTCCGTTTTCACGGCAACCGATCTAAATAGAAACACCGTGTGCAAAGTAGATGAATCCGTGGGTTTTCGTCGGCTTGAAATAAGGGAAGTAGCAGCTAAACTGATATTTGCATGATATACTGATATTCGTTATAAACCACTTTACCAAATTGTGCTTACATAATTAAGGTAAGTTCATTACTTGGTGAGTAATGAAATAAAGAATAGGTCACTTCAATAAATTGGCCCATTGTTCCTATGCCATTAATTTCACAAGGAATTCTTGATAGGTGGTCTTTCAAAATGACTTATATGTTTTTGTCATGCTCATTTTGAAAGGTTTAAAACCAATAAATGTCCACAGCGGACAGAATGTCATGTTTAGAGGAGAAGACGATGCGAGCTGTGACTTCCAGCTCCAGCTGGTTTGGCCATTTCAACATGCAGAGGTATCTGTGTAAGTTATGATTGCTGTGAATAAAGTAGAAATCTCACCTTTCGCCATCCTGGCTGAGGAACACAGTGCCGTATCCGCCTTCTCCAAGCACTTTTTTCAGTTTGTATTTCTTTTCATCTCCTTGAATATCATCATTTATTGCTGGCAGACGATCCACCTCAAGTTTCTTTTCTTTTTGTTCGGCAAGCTTCGATGCATTAGCCACTTTCTCAGCTGCCACGTTCTCCATTCTGTAGTGTTTTCCCATTAAGGATAGATTTTGAAGTCCACTGGTTGCAAACAAAATCACGTACCTGATTTTTAAAGACAAGTTGGTGTTTTATGAACGAGCACTCCTAACGCACACAATACGCTGTGGCAACAGCCGTGTAAATGGAAGTTAAACCACAGTGTATCATCAAAAGGAATGATGCCGGTCTTATCCGATCGACTTATCATAGATTCACTTATCACGGAAAAGTTACATTTGCTGATACGAAGGAGTTACTTGATTTATGCCGATTGCAAGCAAACGTTGAAATTGCATTCCAATTGTTAATTGCTTGATCGTGGTTAAGGGCCTTACTCCATGTTCTCCACAAATAGTTTAAACAAAGGTTTCACACTAAAAATTGCATAAAATCTTGTTCTTAACACGCGAGTTATGCAAACTTAGTACATTGCCGAGACAATCAGATCTTGCTAGTGTCCACCCAAGTTACTCTTCAAGCATCAATATACCACGACGTACTGAGAAGCATGCTCAATTTAGACGTTTACGTAGATTGCTTATGTTCTCGTACTACAATTTAACCTCAAGAAACGGGTATCACAAGCACGGTGCTGATTCAATCCTGCTGCGGGCCCACCAAACCTCTCATCTGTGTTCGGAAAACTGGCATTAAACTTTTCTGGAAAAAACAAAACACGCTCTGTAATTTTACCAACGCTCCACCTCGGCAATCTCCGGGCTTTAAGTGAGAATAGGCTCAACCAACATTTTACGGCATTCAAGATGAAACGGAAAACCTCAAGCAGCAGCTGAAGCCGCAGGTGAAAGTTGGAAGACCTTAGTGGATGACGGATTCGAGCAATCGAATCGAATACGAGAAGTGCTGGGATCCGCACAGTAGATGTGAAAACGAGTCGTAAATATCGTAAACGCCAATACCTACCACAACATATTATGTGTAGAGTAATAGGTCGATGCTTGACGTCGTCGTTATGTTATATAGAAATTGATTTTTAAAAACCAACATATATACACATATATATATATATACATATGAGTGCAACCTTCCAACGGTTTACCGCCTCATCGTGGCTAGGAGGTGTTTCCCGGTGTCGGAAGCAGCGGATGTACATGTACAGCGGAAGGATTTGTCCCCCCAGCAGAGTCTCCCAAGTTGAGAAGGAGTTCGGTGCTTCCATCAAAAAGCCTAGCTAAGAGTAAACCAATACCAGAATCCACCACCGTCTTGCTATCAAGGTCGCATGGTGGCAAATCTCCCTCTGTTCCACAAGGGCTGCGACTGCCTGTGGTAGTGAAGACCCGGGGCAGACTTTGGCCAGATTCTCCGAGAAATGGCGCTTATGCTGGGGCCCCGCACAACTAGTGATGACGGGCCGTTCAAGTAACAGGTAAGTGACTATATGAGTTTAAAATAATGCAAGCAAGTGACATACCGCTTGTTGGTTCTTCTGCACAGGAGGGTGGTACACCATCCGATCTCTCATATCAACGTCGTTACAATGATTCTTGGCTATCGTACTGAATGAGCACGCCTATAATTGCATTAGTACAAATATGGGATAAAGTAAACTTTTTCTCCAAGTTTATCAAGCTTTGCAGAAAATACTGAAATACACTAATTATCAAACTGTTATCGAAGTACGAACATAACGCGCAGTGGGTAGCATAATTTTTAACAAAGAATTTGTTACTTCTTTATTTTCAATTCCTATACCGTATCACAGGTATTGTGTGGAATGTAAAAAATTCACGAAGTAAACATTGTAGCTTTTTTTGAGAACTTGTACAAGTTCATCAAATGCAAGCGGCACTATGACTCAATGACGGAAAAGTTTTTTTTCAAGCACAAGAATTAAATATGATCCACGGGGAAATACATGGAGAAATAGACAAAAAAACGAAAAAAAACGAAGAAGTTAAAAACAAGCGAAAAATATGTGAAGGAACCGAGTAGTGGAAGGTCACCTGTATCGCCTGTCGCCCCGCTGATCTTCGAGTGATTTGGGAGACGCCAGTTAATCTTCCATTTTTCTTTGCCGCGTGGAAGAGTGGTTCTAGTACCCAGTGGGTTCTAAAAGCTTTAGGAATTTGTTGAGCATCAAAGCTTTTCTTTAGAATTCTCGTGAAAATTCTGACCACCGGGACCGTAGTCTAGAAATCCAGTCACCAACTACACATGTCCACCTTTCGTCGTTCATACGCACAACATGTAGATCCCACCTTATCTTCTACAGTTTACCGTATGGAACGCTATCTTTGATTTTTGCTCGTTGACGCAGCTCGGAGCTTTGGATCACTTCCCTAACCTTTGTGAAACGAGATACTCACCAAATCGTCTTTTCGACTGATCATTCAATAACTCTGAGTTATTTTTCATTAACTTTGCTCAGCGACAATGTTTCTGACGCGTACATTAAAGCAGGAAGAATCGTGGAGTCGAGAAGATGGGGACGGAGTCGGCTATTCTTTGCTCTCTTTTCTACATCCCTGGTACTCTTGTAAGACCCTAAGCCGCTCTCCTTTCCCTTCTCAACTCTGGTGCTAAGTATTTTGTCAGTTTGACCTATCAGCTTAGATAAAGGTAACTGGAGCGTTCGAATATATTAAATCCATTGAAAGCTCATGGAACGTAAGAAATCAATTCGGAGCTATTCTTTTCAGAGGTGTTAACAAAGTCGACAAGCATTCGCTTCACCTCGATAATATTTAGTATAATAAAAGCGGCAATAATGTCAACAGTATTACTAGAATGGTGTATTTGCCGACCAACGACTTTCACTCACATGTTCTCCCATTCCAGTGCTTGCATGATGTTCTACGACGTGGCGGTAAACAATTTTTGCGAAATGGCATCGCAGCGATAACTGGGTTGTGAAAATTTCATATAGCTCACGAATGATCTTTGCATAGTGAGTTGGTACTACCTGACTTTGCTGGGCTTCCAAAGCACTCTTAGCACCATCGGGTTAGATTTGTTTGGTCCGTCTCCAGTTCTTGTCTATTTCTGTGCTGGACTATTTAGCGTCCTCAAATGTTCATCTCAGAAGTATTTTCACAGCTGTATAGTTATTGTGGTAAGCTCTGGTGGCAGCTAATCCTAGTCCATCTATTTTTCCGGTTTGTTTCAATGTGATGTTCTTATGACGTTATTCTAGATCTAGTAGCAGCGCTAACATCAACAACAATGACCTTAAAGAATGCATGGAAGCCTCTGTAGAACTGCTCCAAGTCCATTTAGAACGTTTTGAATTCGACTTTTTTGTGGTTTTACGTCGGAGCGTAAACGACGAAGATTGTCGAAGCCAGGATTTTGAACCACATCTCTTCAACCGTAGACGCCTGATTCAGGCTGTTAGTTCTTCGAACATGGCCAAACTCTTGTTCACGAAAACGTCAATGCCACCGGTTCCTCCATTGTGCATGTTCCGAGGAACAGTTTTTTTCCATTGTCGTCGACAACGTTGAATGGGTGGCATCTTCTCATCTCACCCAGTTCGATGACGTTTTATTTCATCCTTCATGCCTTCCTTGTCAACTGATCCGTCGGGGATTCATGTAAAAATGAGCGCTCTTTATAGGCCAGCAGAGTAGACAGGAAGCTTATTTGTTGGAGACGACTCGTGACCGCCTTCTACATATCTTACTGTCACTTGATTAGAAGCTTTTGCCTGAACTGACTTGCATAGGACAATCTGCAAAAACCAGAGCACACCCGCGCACGCATGCATGAATACGCCCTCGTAAATACGGAAAGTATTTGCTAAATCCGCGCGGCAGAAGCAGGTGGTCTATCCCGTGGATCCATTTACGACTCATGGAAGCAAAGGTCTCCTTCGGTACGCGATCAACCCCGTACTAGCCATGAACACGCTGAGTTGCTTCGCGGCTAACCAGCAGGAGATTCCACAATAAGAGAGATCCGTGGTACGATGACTGCGAAAGGATACGAGGAGCTGTCCAGATATAAGTCGAAAAGCTAAAAAAAAATAGTTACAAAAAACCAAATCCAAAATGTTTCAGGTTTCCATGTTATGACTCCTTAAACTAAGAAGACAAGAGATAAATTTTGTCTGGTGGGGTGGGCGCCGAAACGAAATATGATGGGATTGAGGCAATACCAAGCGCTTTCCGGAGGGCCACCGTAAATCGCTCGAGCTTTCCACCGATAACGAGCGACAATATACGTTGCAGAGATATCGTAAATACATATGTAAGAGACGAAACGACTGCACACCTTTCGACAAGTAAACTCAGTGCTTTGTTTCGTGAGCTAGTCTCAGAAATTTGTGCTTTTCCGCTATGCATATTTTGATCTGGTCAATTTCCAACGCACTAAACGAGGATCGAATTGAGCAGTATAACCCATAGAAAGCAAATCACAAGAACCCAAAAAATACTGGTGACAGGATATCTCAATTTGAAATTGCACTACCAGGGAGGAAAAATTGGAAGTTCACTCCATGTTAGTGCCGCTCGTTAAGATGCAAATACCGTCCGAGTTTCAGCAAGCTTCATCTACAAAAATGCTGCCTCAAAATGCACGCCGAATGAATAAGATGGTAAGCAACACGAAAGTGAGAGAAGTAGAACCTTTTCCGTATGCGCAATGAGCATTTGTTGCGCAGAATCGACACCGACATCTCTGGCTTTTTGATTGTTTTCGGCGATTCTTAGAAAAGAAACGATATAGTGCGGTGTCGTAAACTTAAGGTTAATCCTACAAGCAGAAAATATCTTCCAAGAATCGAATGGTTTAGCTGATGTAAAAATTACATCAATATACTTAATCCCTCCACAGCATTCGAGTCCACGAGAGATACGCAAGCAATCATTACGGCATGCCAGTTGCCACCAAGAATGTATTTAAGCAGTCTTCATACAATTGAATTCAATCCATGGCACATTCCACACTACAAATCACCTTGCCAATGTCTAGTAGAATTTGAATCCTTGTACTACTTAGGTCTTTTTTTCTCATGATTCTAATAGTGCTGCGA